ATTTGTAATCAGTGAGTGAAATAAGCATCTCCTACAACCCAGCCAGAGTTCAGGCTCCAACAGATTGGCTTTGTGCCCATGTGGCATACAGATTACAGCCAATCATTTAGAGATAGTCCTTTATCTCCACTGATTGGCTGCACTAGACCTGCACTAGGCTGGAATGAGCTACAAGACCATGAGTAGGAAAAAATACCATTGGTAACACACTAGTACGCTGTAATAGACTGAAATGTTGCAGCACCTACAAGGTCCCCCTGCTCACGTAGACCCATCTTAAGTTTGCCAGTGAACGTCTGAGTGATTCACAGCAGGCTTTGGAGAAAGTGCTGCAGTGAGGCATCAATGCAACCTGTCATGTTTGGAGGAACAGAAATGCTGAGTATCACTCAAAGAAAACCATCCCCACAGTCAGAGGTGGAAACATTATGCTTTGGTGATGTCTTTCTGCTAAGAGCACAGGGCAACTTCACTGCATTAAAGGGGCCAATGGACAAGGATGTGTACTGTAAAATCTTGGAAGAGAGCCTCCATCAGCCAGCCAGAACACTGAAGATGGCTCGTGGATGAGTCTTGCAGCATGACAATGACCCAAAATATACCGGTAAGGCAACAAATGAATGGAGTGGCCTAGCTAGTCTCCAGACCTCAGTCCTAGAGAAAATCTGTGGAGGGAACTGAAGCTGAAATTGAGCTTTAAAGTGCCAAACAGAGGCCAAGAAAACTGAGTGGATTTAGAGTTTCTGTAAAGAGGAGTGAGCCAAAATCTCTCCTGAGATGTGTGCAAACCTGGTGACCAACTACAAGTAACGTCTTACCGCTGTGCTTGTCAGCAAGGGTTTGTCCATCGAGTACTAAGTCATGTTTTACATGCAAACTTTTATGTAATGTGGGTTTTTTGTTGGGTTTTTTTGGTTGATATTCTCTCTGTCTCCATTAAAATGTAACTACCATAAAAATCTGTTCATTTCTTTGTAAGTGAGTGAACTCAGGAGATAAAGTAATTGTTTCTCTCACTCTAGTGTGGCATCAACCAACAACAGACAGCACATGCGACTCTGCGATGACAAAGGACAGCACAGGTGTTTCTATGGCGACAGATGTCTGAAGTCATCCTGTACCTCAGTCAAGGAGACAGTTCAAAGATTGCATTCTCATACGGAGGACAGGCACTCTGTTTGTCATACATTTCTACTGAGATCAGGTAAAGGCAGTGTCGCTTAGAGAGTCGAGGGCATGCTGCCGAGCTGCATATAAAATCTGCTAACAATAAACACAGAGTTGAATCTCAAAAAAAAAAAAGAAAAGGAAATATATATATCTGTTTTATGTCTCTGAGAGAGAAAAAAGTTACCAGTTAAAAGTTTTTTCTTCTTAATGGAGTTGGGTTGTATCAGAATTAGCAGTCCAAAGAACAGGAGATATTACAAACTACACAGAAGATCCAGCAACACTTTCAACAGTCACATCCTGACACATGGGTCAACTACAAGAGCTCATGACGCTTTACTCACTTTCAGACTTCACCTTCTTTTCTGTGAAAGCAGGTGAAGTTTTGCCAGAAACCTTTATTTTGTCACTAAGAATGTCGGCACTTTTATTTGGCTCAATGGTTAATGGGAAGTATCTTTAGAAGATTATCTTTCATCTCAGTCATCTAAATCTAAAAAATACCTCAGCCAGCTCTGAGAAACCTGATGAGAGATGTACACTATGAACGGGGAAGGGGAATATGCATAAATAATAATGCACTCTTAACAATTGTTCCTGATTTTTTTTTTAAAATTAATATCAAAAACAGATCACTACATAGATTACTCAAGTCATTTATTTGTCAATTATAAGTGCTTTTTGCCCTTGAAGCTCACAATTTAAAGCTAGTTAACCTTTAAACAGGGACAACCTAAAAAATATCTTGTTTTTATTTTGCTCTCTGTTGCTTATTTCAGATAAATGGGATTTTAAGAAGTAACCATTTACTTTAAATTTCCAGTAGTGATGTAAAACGTCCTTAAAGGGGCTATGTTGAGCGGAAAAAAAAGAACAATAAAGAATTTAACCTTCTAAAAATCTCCCACTTATATTTTATCTAAAGCATGGAAACCTTGGCCTCTCCTTTACTCTTATAGGCCTAATCTGAAAAGTAAGACTTCATTTTGGTAAAATATTGCTACATTAATTGTTTACATAAATCAGTCAATCTACAAAAACCCTGCCCCGCACTGACTTGACTTAATCCTGCTTATTTATTTCCAAATGTTACACCAGAGCAAAAGATAATTTCAGACCTATGAAATTAACTCTGGTGTGCAATGCTGGTTAATGCTAACTATTCCAAATATGGCAGAGTGAGTAACCTGTCCTCTTAAAACTGTAAGAATACGAATTAGAGCGCCTGATTGTCATCATCAGGTGGCAATCAAGTCAGATAATAAGTCAGACTGTAAGTTAAAGTTTCAAAGGGCAGTTCTCATTCACGTATCGTCGTGGTAAACAATCTCTTTAAGAGCATCAGCTGTTAGAAGAAAAAACTATCAGCCTTTCAGCCTCAACTTAACCACAAAGCAAGACAGATGATAATCAATCCTGCAACTCTGCCAATTGCACAGTGAATCTACTTGTTGCGTCAGCAACTCATTGCTGAAAATAAACTACACAGTATAAGAAACAGATGTCCACTTTTTTTTGTTACCGTGACACTTTAAAAGAAGGTGCATATTTCTAAAAGTAGAGAGAAGAACAGAGGGAAATACATATCTTGAAAACATTTTGGTGCATCACAGGAAATATTTTTGTACCACTTAGTGTGAAGGGTTTTTGTGCAGCTTTGCAAATCAAATATAGCTGTTTGGCTACTCTGAATCTGTGTAACAAACTAGTTGTTTGATACTGGACAAAACGCATTTCGACATGCAGTCAGCCAGACTGCTGAAGACAGAGATGGTAGAGCTTACGCCAAATCTGCTGGCTGTAAGTGAACAGGCTTTTTGCACCTGGTAGGTTTGGAGTCCCTTAAACAGTGACACTGAGAAACAGATATGCTACAGAGGTCTTACAAAGCACATCAGGTGTTAACCCATGATCCGACTCAAAAACAGTAGCTTGCATGATGCTCTTCTGATAAACAACAGAGCATGCCCAAAAGCTTATTTGTAGTCTTTAAACAATGCCTTGAGTTGAAGCAATTTGAAAACAAAAACTCAAATCAAAAGGCTTATAATCGAATTTAAATGTTTCTTTTTTTTCCTTAACTCAACAGAGTGAAAATGTTTCAGTCTTAGAACAAAGTATCCAAACCTGCATAAAGATATTTTTTTTCTCTCTCTCTCGAGAAGTTTTTTTTAAAATGTTTGTTTTGAAGCATCAGTTTTGTTTTGTCTTTGTGTTTGGAAACGGAAAAGAGTGAAGGCGAAACCCACTGCTGGGCTGGAGGAAGCAGTGCTGAGAACTCCATTGTGAAGAGACTCCCCTTATTTCCTCAGTGGAAGTGTCCACCTCGCTGTCGCTCCTAGAGGGGAAGAGCTCATATCGCAGACCGAGGAAGGGGACTTTATTAGTCGGTGAATCTCTGACAGGCCTTTTTCCAACGACAGGCTGTGCACCACATGTCTCTCTTCTCCATGCCGTACACCTTTCGGCACTTCTTCGCCTCCCCACGGGGTTTCCTTGGTAACAGCAGATGTGACAGCATAAGGACATGCACATAGACATCCAGACACACACATGGGCAAACGGCATACATGTACGTACAATGTGCTTAAAGGTGAGTAGGTACAGTATCTCTCTTTTAAATAATTCAGTGATTCAGTACAAGAACACCATTTTTGAAGAGCCCGATATTATTATACCTATACACATGTAATATCTGACATGGTTCAGCACCTTGAAGAGTAACGCAGGCTTTTGGCGGTGCACAATTATAATTACACATATGATCCAAACGCCATTATAAGAATTTAAAACAGTCAAACTACTTATCGGCAGAATTAAATACCCAGCCCAATAACATCACACTGGTACGAATGTAATCACATTCACACATTCACGTTTCAGAAAGTATATTAGTGCAAGCAGCAGTTTTATTCATTTAACCTACTGTGACCCACTGAAATGATAATAGCTTTGTAGCTACAATAGCCACAATTTTTCATTTTAGTTCCCAGCCTGAGGAGTTTGCATGGACTTCCTGCAGACTCCTCTAAGGGAAATAATGGGAAGTGTGTTGAAAGCATAGACAATTAAAAAAAGGTGGACGTAGGTACCATGACGTCACCAACTGGTTTCTGAAGTCCAGTTTTACACCCTCGAAATGAGCGTTTCTTGCCATCTGACAAGGAGGGGCACGTCTGACTGTGAAACCATGTGCTTTGTCGGCTATTGACTTGTGTTTTACAAGTTGTTAGCCAGTGGTTTCATACCATTGATAATGCTCCATTTTTTACAGTATGGCCAAGATTTTCAAAATCTTATTTTTTAACTTCAGTATGAGCTAAAACAGGTGAGTGAGCCCATAAACTCACCAGGAAAGTATTTACAAAGGTCAAAACAGAGAGTCATTTCCCCATAGATTTCTATAGAACCATAAGTCTTTTAGCAACCACAGCTTTCGCCATCTGGTGGCCTTTAGATAGAATGCAGGTTTAATTTTTATAACCCAGATGCTACGTAGATGCTTTTTACTGTATATAAGCAAAAGTAAGAAAAAAATGCAAAAGAAAGAAAAGATTTCACATTTGATATCAAATGCTGAATCTGCAAACAGAGAGAAAGAGCCAGTCATTCACACTCCCATCCACACCTATAACCAATTTATAACACCTTTAGAACACACACGCACACTTCACACAGAAAAGCACCAGCTGACCAACAGTTTAAAATCCCAAACATTCTTCCTATGAAGCAAAAGTACTTTTAGTACTTTGACTCAAGCAGACTTAATCAGCACTCAAAGTAAATTGTGGATGCATACCTGGCTCCTTGTGTTGATTTAGGCGATGGCATAATCAGTGGGTGGTTCTTGTTAACAATGGCGTGTGAGCTAGGTGCTGGCTGCCGCTTTTCTCCAATGCTAACTGTACGAACATGAGTTGTTGCCCCCTGTAAAAGAGTCATTAAGTCAATACTCAATATCATACTGACAGAGAGCAGACCAGCTTCATCAAGAGAAATGATCAGATATCAAATACTGATTGAACAGACACATGATGTTTATGCAGTTACAACCACACAATGATGACAGCTGAAAAACAGAAAGACACAACCTGGATTTTTCTGCCCCTGTCTTAATGAACTACAGTACCTTAGTGTAGCACAAGACCACATCGTGTCACTCCTGTTAGTTAATAATAGGACAAAAAAGAACAATTGGATAACACAAGATTTGAACAATGTCAGCTGGTCTGATGATTGCCAATTTCTGCTGCCTGCAGATCGTAGAGTGTGATTTCGGCTTAAACAGCATGAAAGCATGCCGCCTTCTATCACTGGACTCCTGAGAAACTTTTTCAAATTCATCATTTCAACAAAGCCTTCAACCTCTAGACTTTTTGATTATTTATACTCTTTTGTAAAGTGTCCTTGGGTTTCGTGAAAGGTGCTATACAAATCTAAATTATTAATATTAATATTAAATCAACAGTTCAGGCTGCTACTGATGGTGTAATGGTGTGTTGCTATACTTGGGTTCCATAGTATCAAACTAATCATAACTAAAACAGCATGACATGAGTATTGCTGAGGTGAATTTCTGAAGTGAAAAGTAAAAATAGCAGTCTTTTCTTTGCATTTTAATGCAGAATTAATGTTCATTTGACATACCCAAAGAAATTAAAAAGACAACAACAAAATACCAATCTAAAAAGTCATTTTTTTATGTCTATGTTTCTCACTGTTTTTGATTACTAAGAGCAACAAGATCACTTTGTGGAGCCGTGTACTGTGCAACACCTATAAAACACACACACACAGGTTTATCACAAATATACAAATGACATTTAAATTTTGCATTTGTTTGGTTCAGACACTGGCACGAGCATGACTTAAAAGTTCTCTGCAACACAACCGTGACAAAACAGGGGAAACTGCCTTTCCATAATTACTCTGCTCCTTCTTCCAGCTCCAATTTTTCCTACCAGTGGGAAAGCTACCACTATCTACAGTGGAAGACAAAAGAACTCTGCTTTTCTTTTTCTGGTTGTGCAATCGAGCCTTCATTCAAAGTGGTGGTAAACTCTGTTGGTATCATGTTATAGCCATTGCACTGAGCAAACAAATTGTATTAGATAATGATCATTTGAAACTAACAGAGTCGTCAACTGCTTTAGGTACAGAAACAAAGACTGACACTTCTCTGTATAAAAAGAACATAGCGTAAAGAAGCAAGGACAGGAAAAACAAAAAAGTGAAAAAAGCTTCCATGAAAAGAGCAGTGGAGAAGTTAAGATGAAGTTAAAAGGGTTGTGAGATAAAGCCTCACTCACCGGGATGCCTTTAAAAATGACAGGAGGGGACTGCCACGACACACTGATGCCATTGCCAGTCCCAGTTCCAGGCCCGATCCCATTACCACTGCCTATCCCAGCCAGCTCAGGACCCACTGGGATACTCACTGGAGCGGTGGCCTGGAACATGGACAGCCACCCCACATAGCCAGGAGAAGACACAACAGAAACGAGAAGGGATGGGAAATGAGCAAAGAGAAACAGAAAATAAGAGATCACAGAGGGAATAGGTTGTATAAATTAGAAAGGAAGGCATATCTTCAGCTTTTAATCTGAAAGGTGCCTTAAACTAAATACTGATCACAAATGTACAACCAAACTGCTGATATTTTTCAATTCACACAAATAAAAAGATTTGAGTGAAAACTTTAGTTAACCAAAACTGGCAGGCACTTGCAAAATATTGCACAAACGGCAGTATAAGGAATAGCAGGAAGAATATGAAGTTAGGATAAATAAAAGAGTACGCATACAGTACAATACAGAGAAAATGAAGTAGTCCTATTCAGTTTCTTTGCATAAAAGAAACATTGCTGTTTCTTTAATATGTGTATTCAGTTGTCATGGCAACTGAAAGTGTGATCCTGCCTGAAGCCAATGAAAAGGACTGAATTCTGTGAATTCCTAAAGTATTTAAACTTTAACCAAACTTCCAGCTGACACTATGTAATTTTACCTTCAAGGACGGGTCAATAGAAACGGCGCATAGACAGGCAAGGAAGGCCAATGAGAAGAGGTTTAAGAAGGCATAGACACCTAAAACAGGACTACACAGGACTTTAACCATGATCTGAAAATCTAATAACTAAAACTTTTCTGATATCAAAATGAGCAAAAACTGGATTCGGACTTCATTCGTCATATGAACTTCTGTCAATATTTGCCAGAAAGTTTTGCTTCTCTCCTTGTTACATACTCCCACACTGGCGTAGGAGCTAAGTAACTCACCCTGGCCTCTTTATTTATTCATTTATTTGTTTGTTTGTGTTTGTTTGTTTGTTTTCACTGATTTGAAAAACTGCCTCTGCACATTCCACATATTAGAATACTGAATCCTGGATTAGTAACATGCCAAATGTTTAATGTTTTGTCTTGGTTTATTTATTTATTATTTTTTTAAATGCAGCTTCAACTATTCTGTGTGTCTTGTCTCGCGCTGAATGTGAATTACCTGGTAGGCATGGTCAGTGCGGATGTGGCAGAGTGTGGAGGGAGCTGACTGACTGAGCAGTGAAGGGGCGTGGCACTGCGAACCATTCATGTTGATGTGCTTGGAGTGAGGGACATCGGTGAGCGGTGGAGGGAAGATGGGCGGCGGACCGGCTGTGGTTGGGGAAGTGGGTGTGAGGTTGGACAAGCCCTCCGTGAGGCTGTCCATGTTGACCTCAATCTCTGAGTAGTAGAAGTCCTCTTCTCCATCACTGTAGTCAGAGTCACTGCTTCGCCTACAGGGGAAGGTTATATATTCCCGATTTAAAATAAACATTTAAATTGTTTTTTAAGAAAAACTGTAAACATACAAGTGATAATGATAAGAAACCACAAACAGGCTCTCAATACATTACGACGGAATCAAGATAGACACCTATAAATACGGATAGACAAGTTGTTGATTATAACAAAAAAAAGTGTACTCTCTCCAACAGAAGGGGGCAGTATAACCCAGTGTGCTGCAAAGGTCCTTAAACATACAAGCTGGGAATTAAACTAACAAAAACAAAAACTAAGTACAACGCCCACAAGAGAAAATAATCCTTCGAGTAACAGTGTCTCTTTCTCTTAACTTAGAATTGCATAAAGGTATGAAATCGCTTTCAAGCCTTCTGTTAGTGATTTCTGATTACCCAAGGCGTACCTGCTGCACAGCAAAAACAGCCACAGCATGACTCATCAATGCCAGTTGACCATATATAATATAATGTGATGTCTTGCAAAAGAAACAACATCTCCATGCACTGTAATAAATTATGGGTTAAGATGAGAAAAATTGGTTTTAACTGGGCAATGCACAGTTGCAGTCATAATTATTCACCTCCATAAACTTGTGATGTGAATACAATGTGAATACATTTTTCCTTTTGTAATATTCACCTAACATTTTATGTGCCCTTTGCTTAAGAATGTAGAATCTTCCTTCAAGCACTGCCTTTTTTGGTGTAATCAATTTTTTTTTGTAATCAATCTTTCTATCTTTTGAGACAGATCATTTATCTTTGCTGTACTTGCTTCTTGGCTTAAACACCTGTATTTTCAGGATTTATATCTGCACAGCAGGTCTAAATCCCCTAAAAAAAAAAAATCTTATTTTTGAGCAGTTAGAAATTCATGCCAGAAAATGAAAATGTTTTACTTGTAAACCTTTGCATACGTTCCATGGCTGAATGGTTTTGATAGCAAATGTGCCTGTGAGCACCTGTGCAGAGGCACAGTAATTCAATAGCCCAGTTGGACACCATCCAAACTGTGGCAATGTGTGTCACTTTTCTTGTCTTACCACACTATTTTAAAATCACAAGGTATGGGAGTATTATCTGGAGCTGCAGAAAAGAGATTACTAACACAAACAGAAAACACAGCTTTAGACAATGACAGCTTCACAAAAAAGAATATCCGTGTGATCTCTTGAGGTTATAAAACACATGATGGTGGCATGGGTATGTTTAGGTATTTAGCTAAGAAAAGCATGGTGCTAAGTGCATGATACATACAATATAAAAAAAACTCTTTGAGAGCCTACAATTTTCTAATCATTTAATCATTTTTTTAAACATCTGACAGCACAACATGAATATGCAGCTGTAATCTGGTCATATTTTACACAACTACGGTCTGCTGAGCCCCGAAGGCAGTAACTCAACACTGTGTGGGTTTACTTTGTGATGACTACCAACTAACCCCAGGTGGATGGTGCGGATGTGTCGCTGGATCCCTGAGGAGGTGCTGAGGACCTTTTCACAGTTCTTCCACAAGCACTTGAACATGACCTTCATTGAGTTCTGCAAGAGACGTTTACCAAAAACAAAACTAAAGTTAGCTTGCTGTTGCAAAATCTTAGCAGTTGTGCTCTGGTTTCTGAGTGAGAATCAAGCTGCAATTAAAACAATAAATAAATGAACACATTTTCTGTGGCCTCGTCAATAAGAACTGCTCTGTTGAGAAAGAGTAAGAGTACAGTGGGAACTCTTTGGGATGGAATGGGGATATATAGCACAGGAAATAATTCGGTGATTACATAAAAGGCTGGTCACACTGTTTAACAAAACATTCAAGACCTCTCACAAAACTAGACGTGTAATTTGGAAATTTTTCTCATAGCTGATCCTCTTGTTTTTTTGTGATTTTACCAAAAGAAAGAACAACAAAAGAACAAAACATAAGACCTTAGTTCATTTAAATGGGAAGCTGTTAGTTGATGAGAGATAGATTGCCACTTTTTATTTTGACTTATTTTCTTTTTCCACATATCAGGCCCTGGCAGCTGTCCCTTTAGCAGGCAGGGACTTGCATTGCTGCTAATGAAAGACAGTGGGTGAAAGACAGTGGGTGTGTGCTTTTATTACCTTCCAATAGCCTCTGGAGAAAAAAGGGCAAGAAGAAGAGAACTGAGGGAGGGAGCACGAGAGACAGAGGAAGCAGGGCAAGAGAAGCGAGTTTAAAGCAGGTTTTTAACAATAGTTACATTAACTTTCTCCTGCACCGCTATTCCTCTGAACTACTTCTCACTGACTCCTACAGCATACACTTACCCCTAAACCCTTCAAAAACACAAGAGGCCAAACTCCTAAACTCTTTGACTGCTGCTAGCTTTATGCACGTACCCCATGAAGCTGTTTGCAACAAAAAGTACACAGCAAAGCTAATCTGTAATCCTACAAACAATCACAAATCACTTAATTCTCAAAGTGTTTTTCTTGCCTCTTACCACAGTAACATTAAGACTAGTGAATGTCATGTTAAATAATCCTCTTAATTCAATGCCCGCACAAAAATCAGACAGCCTAAAATCCAGTGGGGGTAGTTGCTGTTAAGAGTTTGTGACAGCTATGTCACAACACAAAGCTAACCAGCAAATTAGCCAACCTTTAAGCCCACTTCCACACAACTTGTTTTTCTATACTTGCCCCAGCATCATCCTACTTAATTTCCTGTCTGCTTATCTATAGAATGGCATGTCCTTGGAGTCTCTATGGTTTTCATATATTCACTGCTGCCTCACTCCAGGGAGGCTCAATTGCAAACTCCCACATATACAGTATATGAGCTCTCCTTTGTCACCGTATGGCCGGAGGAAATATTGAGATTGATTTCTCCTTCTGCTGCTACCCTGTGCATCAGTTCTCCTTTCCGTCTTTATACCCTCCAACTGCCCTCATTTTTATGCATCCCTTGCATGCTTACTTCCTGCTGTTCATTCCTACACAGTCTGCCGATTTTCTTTCATTGTTATAAAACCCTACCACCTCTTTCCCTGAAAGGACTGAAAAGGCAATTGGAAGCTACTTGACAGCAAAAACATTTTGCTGTTCTGGACTGCTTCTGTAGTACAAAACGGAGGAGGTGAAGTAAAAGCAAGAATATAATCAATCGTCCACACAACCAGAGAGTGGCAGGCCATATATAAGAGGTTATTTAACCTGCCTAGTGCTTATGTTTGACTGTTTGTGTTGTGGATTTTCTATCTCCTACCTAGTACTTAAAAATTAGAAAGGTACAGAGCTGTTTGTATACAAGCTCAGCTTGATTTACTATCTTCAGGATGTACTCTATATATTTAGCCTAGACATGTGTTAAATGCTCTTACCCTATAACAGCTGGGATAGCCTCCTGGCCCCTGGGACCCTAAGTTGGACAAGTGGTTAAGAAAATAGATGGACAGATGGGTGGATGAACCACTGATTATTTCCTATTCAAAACTAAAATTGAATCTGCTTTTTCCTCTTTTAAACTTCTCTATGAAACTTTATCAAGTTGACAACAGTCACTTCAAGGGGCTTTATATTGTGAGGTAGAGACCCTACAATAATACAGCAAACACTCCCGCAATCAGACGACCCACTAAGAGCAAGCGCTTGGCAACAGCAGGAAGGAAAAACTCCCTTTTAATGGGAAGAAACCTCTGGCAGAACCAACCTCAGTGCAGCCATCTGCTGCAATCAGCTGGGGGTGAGAGGAGTGAGACAGGACAAAATACATGCTGTGGAAACACAGTGTGGTGTATAAACACAGAGTGAAAAAAAGGTCAAGAAGAAGAAATGCTCAGTGCACTATTGGAAGCCCCCAGCAGCCTACACCAAATCTAAACACAAACTGTAATCATCAGGTGTACTAAGGTGTAGTGAGGTGAAAAAAAAACTGTTGAGACCAAAACAAAGTCCAAGCTGCAGAGGTGTGACACCACTGCCTCAAGCCTCAAGCCGCTTGGAAACTGCCCAAGTTAAGAAAGAAAGTCAGGACGTAAGCGTTTATCTTTACCTTTCGCTTCCGAGGTATGGGGTCTTCAAACATGAAGTGCGGGCTCTCTGTGACATCCTCACTGCCATCATCACCCTGGGACGAGAGCGGGAAGCTCTTGTTTGTATCGTTTAAAAGTGGTGGGGACGGAGTGGAGGGGACTGAATGGTCACTGGCATCCCAGCTCCAGTTGCCGCTGGTCGAACTGCTGTAGCTAGCTGACAGCACCTCTTTCCAAGCTCTGCCGGCCGGCTCGGGGGCTGTAGTTTATACAACACAACAACTTATTGTTATTGGCAAGACGTGACTGAAATGAGGATGTTTTATGTTTGAAGACATACAAATTTGACCATGAACTAAGAGCCAAATGTGAACCAGTGAGGTATGAGAAAAAAATAGAAGTTCTGAGAACAGGTCCATAAAAACAGCAAACTTAGCTCATTTAAATCTGGCCATCTCATGGATGAGAAGACAGCTTTGAGCTTCCAACACAGCTGGTATTTTCAGATCACTTCCCGTCATCTTCTGACCATGCTGCATACCAGAGTGCCAGCTCAGAGCACTTTGAGTTTTTTTGGCCAGACAACATAACAATTTTCATTCACCATATGGGCCCCTCATTAGATTTGCCTCCTGCAACTTTCTCCATTCCCCAAAAATAACAATGAAATTGAAGGGCAGCAGTTTTGGCACACTGGACCAGATTCAGTGGCCATCGCAGATACAAATTAAGTGGACAGCTGCCCTACAAAAAAACAAAAAAAAAAACAAAAACAACCAACAGTCCAGGGGGTGCACAAGAAGATGGCCTTGAACAGGACAACCAATTTTAACTTGATCTGTTATAAGAACTCTTTGATAATACCTCTCAATTTTAAATTTGTATTACTGGAAACATAATATTGGGGCTCTCTTGCAAAACAATCCCAATTCTAATGTCACAAAATAATTAAAACATATGTCTTAATCTGTAAACCTTAGAAGCTTATTTCCACAAATTATATAATATCTAAAACAATGGATTCTTTACTACACCACATATTTTTTAGCTACTGTATACTGAAACTTCAACCATTGAGTCCAAACTTTCTTTACTTCCCAGAACAAATACTATACGATTTCCAGTGTGTAGGCCCAGAAACCCTTTCAATACATTTGTTAATTTGTTGATCAATTATATAGTGCTTTAAGACTTGATTATCACAATGGCTTTATCTGACTTTTAATCAGGCAAATTATAGTGAAAAACACAGAGCAAGGACTAATATCATACATTTTGGAGAGACCTTCTACAATTCAATAACTGTTTCCCATATAAATATAAAGAGATAAGGGTTATCAAACTCTTTTTCAGAATTATCAAGGGGCTTCAGTGGACTGTGTGTCTTCACACAAAAAATATAAAAATAAAAATAGGATATCCAATCCTGTCTCAACTCATAAAAACAAAAACCTGCCACTTTTTTTAACAACCAAATGCACCAGGAGCTAAACAAATAAATAAATAAACAAACAATTGAATTTTTAAGTTATAAAAATATAAGGAAAGGTTTTGGAGGTTGCATTAAAAAAAACTATCCAATCTCAACAGGGATCCATACAACCATGGATACTTTTTATAAAAGCACCACTGTGATTTACCACAGAGTAATCAAGCAACACCCCCTTTCTGAAATATTTTGTCAAATAAGCATTTCATCAAGCATTGCAATCATAAACTCACAGCATCCTCTGATCTGATCTAATGATTGCATCACAGATCATTTCTAAAATGAAAGCTTACAGTTCTTGGTTTATTTCTATTATGTCCGAAATGGTGCAGCAGTGTCAACAGGGTGCTTCTAGCCTTTAGAGATAAAAGCTATAGAAGCTCTTCCTGAGAGCAAAAAACCAGCAGCCCGGGTTTAGCGCTGAGCTAAAAAGCTGTCAGGACTTTGACCGTCTGGTGGTTGGCATGGTAATAGCAACCACAGCAACACTGGAAACAGCAAAAGGAGCTGTGGTGAAATGGTCAAGGCTAAACAGTTGGCAGTAAGTGCTGGGCTTGGGTAAACATACATGCATGGAAAGATGATGGAATAAAGTGCTAATAACACTGCGTGACCCTTTTCTGGGATAAATACATGTTAACACATCAACGAGTCAGCAGCTCAGCCTGTGTCAGGGTAAACTAACATCAAGTGATTTGTGATGAGCACCGTCCCCAGCCAGCAACACAAAGTGAATGTCCTTGATTTTGTTAAACACAGTGGATGAGTCAGTGTGTGACAAAGCAGCTTGCACTCAAGGAGCAGTAGGTGCATGGGTGCATGAATGCAACTGATGCCGAGCCAATGGTGTTACCTGTGGGTGCAGACGAAGGGTAATGCACCAAAGGTGATGTGGACAGTGAGGTCAGGACGGTGGCAGCCATCACCTCCTTATCGGCGTGACCTGACGGCTTCCTGCAAAATAAAAATGCACACTTAGCACGAGAAACATATCTGGTGTAGTTTTAAGGGGTACTCTTGTCTAACCAACCCCATGCTCTATAAAACAGGTTTGTCTGTTTTTCAGAGTATTGGAAAATATTTAAGGAAAAAAAGTTTAACCTTGTCCCCAGAGAAACATTCAATTCTCTATATAGCCACAAAAGACAAACTGTGATGTTAGAAAAAATTTACATTAGGAGGTAAACAAGTCCAACAAGCAGCCAGAAGACAGAGAGATATGTAATTTCATGTACAGTAAATCTTAGACAACTTACTATTGTGTGTGTTCAAATATGTGCTTGTGTGCATATATACACACACGGGGACAAAGCCTCTAGAGTGAAAGTGTTTTGTGGTGTGTTTCTGCACAGCTTGTGCAACCTCGCTTAGAGGGGAGAACCATGCTTTTTGCTCAGTTCCTTCTCAGAACGCCCCATGCAAAGCAATCCAACCTCATCTTAAATCTTAGTCATACTACCCACTTGAACTGACACCAGAAAACATTCACAAACACAGGCACAGACAGCCTAAACAGTGTGCTTTGGCATAAGGCATTCTTGTTAAAAAAAAAAGAAAAGAAAAAAGATCCTGCAAAGACAAATAAGCTTATCTGCTTCAGACACACACTTATTATTCCTGTTGGTTCTATTTAAGACTTCTACTGTCCTTGAAAGCAAAATGTGGGGAAAACTATTTGAGGCCAGGCCAAGCGTTCATCCCCACACAGTTGTTCACATTTGCACACACATTTGCACAGATTTCAATTCTCATGTAACATCCTGAAAAAGATATACCAGTGTCCGTACCATATGTATGTAAATAAATATTAATCCAAATTTACCGATCTGTGCTATACACAGTAGACACATACTCATATTCTCATAGAGAATAGAGTCTGCAGCTTTAAAAGCTCTAGTCCCGCCCCAGACTTCTTCACTACACAACCAGAGTAAACTGGTTTGAGGCATTTTCTCAGCCAAGCCCTAAGCCCTGGCAGAGCTCCACTCTTGAATTCTCGGTGCGCGTACACACACACACACACACACACACACACAAAACAAAAACTTCATGCTGGAATCAACAAACAAGAGAAGTACGTTTCAAAATCAGCAAGTCTACGTGTATCTGCGCACATTCACACACATTTTCAAATGAGAAGTCTCTAAAACATTTTACACACGCAGAAAAAAAGTTTAAAAAGTGCCTAAGCTCCCACGCTGATGAGAATGCGTCGGATAGGAAGCAAACAGATCAAAATGGAATGTACCCGATACGGAGGAATCTTTCAGCCCGTCTGAGCACAAATGTGCTCCCACAAAAGTTGTTGGTTTTACTCTCCAGCATCCCAAAACTTGTGTGTGTTTGTGAATTCAACGCAGACATTTGGAAAAATGGTAGGATATACTCTATAATATTCAAATACTGCCAAGATAGAAGCCATGGTCAGAAGTAGGGTGTGCAGCACGCACGCACACACACACACACACGCACGCACGCACACACGCACGCACGCACGCACACACACACACAGAGGACAAGAGATAAAGAGATAACAAGATTAGCTGTGTCCTATTGCAGTCATTAGCCTTGTTTTCAGCAATAACTCGGGCCAACCAGGGACATACTTCTGATTTACCTCCATCTCTCGTTTAATAAAATCCATCTATAAAATTTGTGTTAGGGCTCTTGGTTACCTTCCATTTGGCCTTCATATAGTGCAGTACTCTGATAGCATACCACTGACAGTCATGCATGTCTGTTTTCTGGTGTGTGGCCTTAGCAAGAGAGATTAGGAAAAACAAACAAACTGGGAGGACAACAATCCCTGTAGTTGATGTATGGCCTCATTCAAACTTTGATATTCCCCTCTCGTACACATTGATATAGACACACCCATTCCAGCACACCCCAGCACTCATTAATACCCATCCCTACAACCCACCCTGATTTCCTGACATTGAGTGTTTTCCTTCCTCCTTACCAGAAAAAGCAATGATAACTCCACCACAGATTCATTGCATCTGGTTCAAGTTTTTAATGTGTGTGAGTGTGCATTGATTAAACAAAAACAAAACAGTAAAGGCCTCCTTCAGAAACCTTTTCTAAAAAGGGCACTTGTTGATTGACTTCTATTCTTGCTGACAGCAGCAGAGCTAATCTGATATCACACCGACTTTGATATCAATGTTTACATCAACTTAGAAGCAGACAGCTGTCACATTTTACATTTTATAAAAACCAGATTAGAGAGATAACCATCCCTGTCCGTCGCTCACTCTAAAGCAGATATTGCACACTAAATGACACGGCCTGCTACTCTTGTTTTCACTTCTCATCTGCCTGTGAAATAACTAAGGAGCCTTTAAACATGGTGAGAGTGGATGACAGCTGAAAGAGCAACAGCATTGATGTGCCGTAAATCTGTCTGCATCTTCTTATGAGAGGCTTTATTTTGGAGCAAGTTAAACTGGGGATGTCTTTATTTAGTGCCCAGAGTGAGGCAAAGAGAGAACAGAGATTGCTGTCAACAAAGTGGTCTTGTGTGGTAATATATAAATATATATATATATATATATATATTTATATGTAATAAATTAATATAATATATATATATATATATATTATATATATTATATATATTTTATATATATTATATATATATATATATATATATATAAATATATATATATATATATATATATATATATTATATATATATATATATATATATATAGTATATATATATATATATATCCATATATATATATATTTATATGTATTTGGGAGAGGAGAAGGGTGGGGTTTTGGTTTCCAGGATGTTTACACGAACCATTGAGTCTGTCCGTGGTGCATTTATGGCATGCAGTAAATTTAATAGTGATATGATAAACATAGCAGCCCTCCACCCTCCCACATATGCAGATGAACATGTGTAGGCACATACTATGTGGTAACTCTGGTATTTGTTGAACTATAATGACATAATTTGCAATTGAAGCTCTTAAATTTACAAACAGTGCCATTGACAACTCTCTTTTATGAGACAGGTAATACATCAGTTGGGAAGTTCTAACTCTATTTTACAGTACTTGCATGTGTGTGTGTTTTGCATCTAGTTTGGTTGAAGCGTTTGGCACACTTAAGTACATGCAGAAACAACATCATTCACTCAATCTCGCTCACACACAACCTCTTACCTTCCTTCCTCCTCAACTTATATTGGCCTTGGCTGGGCCAAAAACACTCCCCTCTGGCAGTAGCACAACACAACCAGCTAAAAATCAACAAGCCAGGCCCAGGCACATACAGGGAGAGAAAGAGACTGCCACTTAAAGCCCAGCCAAGAAGCAGGCAGCAACAACAAGGTGTGATTATGGAAAGGGCGGGGAAGGGGGGGGGAGTTCAAGGATGTGTATATTTGTATATTGTGTGCCAAAAACAGTTACGTTTTAAAGATGACCATTTCACCTAATGTGCACTGCAATAAGCCAGGCAAGAGCGGGCTGTTTCCGTGGGATGATTTTCCAGCTGACTTTTTATTACTTGGATGTGGAAAACATGGGTTTTTTCCAAGTTTCCTAAGGGGACACTTGAGGACTCCGATACTGCCGAGTTACGATTTGGCACCACCAGCCGGTACTATAGTGGGCTCTGTGCTGTTGTTGGGGAGACGACAGGGCCTCCCCACTATATTTAACACATCACCTCTGCTCTAGTTACCATTCCAGTCAAAATCCCTAGGATCTGCCTGGTTTATAGAACGATAGCCCACTTAAGATCCAGGTCAACAGCTACAAAACACATGACTGAAAAAGCGACACACTGTGTATATGGCTGAAGATTTGTCATACTTTATTGGCTTTTCTAAAGTACACCTTTCATCTGAGTTTTTCCCAACCTAATCTGATAATTGCATGTGTATCCAAGGTGCTTCTAGAAGTGTCTCACTACTTGGTAATGCCTTTGGGCAGTTATTTTGAAGCCTCTGTCAAATAATTGGAACAAGACCAAAAGATTTATATTAGGTTCTCACTTTGACATAAAAACTAGGTGTCCCATTAGAGTACTGTACAAATCTATACAAATTCCTGTTGTGGATCAGTAAATATAAATTCATGTCTAAGATAACAACTAGATATGGCTGCTATTACACAGTTAAAACTGCTGTGAACCTCTACTGTCCCTATCCATGATTGGCTCATGTATTTCCCACTTCAACTGTTGATTTGCTCTTTAGAGGGGTAAAACAGATTTCTATTTAAGATTCTCTATCTGCTATTTCTTCTTCATGTAATGCCACTGATGTATCTCACCTGTCTGCCAAAGAATATACTCATTTTATAAAAACTGACTACCAACAATCTACATTGATGTATCTATCTTGTTTACCAAGAAAGAAACTGTGCCTCACTTGACTCCAGTTTTAGAAGTTCAAAAAAAAAGAGGAAGGCAGAGTAGGGCTGTGCGATAAGACCAAAATCTGATATCCCGATATAAGAATTCTGTCGTCCGATAACGATATAAATCACAAAAATGTAACATTTTCTGTAAATTCTGTGAATCTCGGGCAGCTCGACTTGCGTGAAGTGTTTCCAGCTGCGTCTAAGGTTTATTTTTTAGCACCTGATGGCTCTTTTTTACTTTTTATCCGTAAATAATCTGCTCTTTCACATGATTCAGTTTATTTTGAAAAGTCTCAACAGGATCTTGAGCTTTATTGTGAAAGGTTTATGTGGAACATAAACAAGCGGACGCGCGATGGTGTTACCGTCGTTGTTGCTAACCAAAACGCATAAAAACAGGCGCTTGTCCGTCTGTAGTGTGGTTATATTAAATATAAGAGAAAGAGAGAACTTTAAGAAATTAATATAGCCGCTACAGTGACCATCAAAACGATGAAAAAATATTGCCGTAAACAGTTTATTTTGCGACACCACGAAACAAACGATAGCGTAAAATGAAACGATAGACGT